TAGTCTTAGAGTATTATAATCTAAGTAATTTAATAGAAGAGGATTATTACTAGGAGAAGTAATTCTATAGTAATTAGTGAAAATTATAGGGGCCACGTGACATAGGCGCGGGGGTCGTAATATTGCGGCATTAATATATAGTTAACGCCTTCTATTCCTTAAGTATGCCCTATCTGCATAAGGATATCCTTTGCTTAGGATCTTAAGACGCCCTGGTATACTAATTACTACTAGTAATGGGCCTAATACCAACTTTTGCAGCCTATCTACCTGGTGTAGATTATGTAAATTGTGGATTATAAATAAGTGGCTAGGGTGGAGAAACTAGGCTTCGGCAAAACAGTTAGTCCAACAGCGTTAAGGTAGCCATCATAGAGCAGAGTATTTTAAAACCAATAAATAAATATCCAGCCGCCCACTATAGCAAGTAACCGATAATATTATTTTATTAGCGCTAAATTGAAAAAGGAAGGTATAGGGCTGACTCGGGGCTTATGGACTTTTAGTTCCGGACACTGGGCATATCACACACGACAGACTCAATATGCGCTAGGGCTGAGCTTGTTATAAACTTGGTCCTAAACCGCACTAGAGGTCCTCAAACTAGCGGAAACAAGCATAGTTACGCTTGGTCCCTTAGACAAGTGATGAGAATCCATGAAACTCGCGGCAAAAAGCCTCCGGGAAATAATTTACACTGCCCATTAACTATATACTTATCCCCTGAAAGTTCTACAAGAACATTGAGTTGAACATTCTCACATCCACGGCTCCGTGACCGAAGGACTCAACGATCGCTTCCGTCAACGTCAGTATCACGGCTCCCTTTAAAAGATACCATAGGCCTATAGTAATTCGAATAAGAAGAGTACATTACCACAGATGAGTTATATTGACAAAAAGAACTACTGTATTGACTCATGAAATTCACCATGCCCTGTGGATCCAAGGCTAGAAAGTCAAGCTATGTGATTTGAGGAAGGTGGGTATAAGCCGGCTTTGCGAGCTAAACCTTGGTCTAAAATGGCCTGAAGCTATTACGTGTTTGTTATCTATTTTTATTGGCTTATTGGTGGATTTCTCGAGTAAATATGGTAGAAGGAGGAAAAGGGTATTAAAACTAGCGTATATTCCTGGACCCCATACAGAATGAGAGATCGGCACTGATCAACTTCTATTGCGGCAAGTCTCATTAATTTAGTTAGGGGTAGTCGCAGATCGCCCGCTACCTCTCCATCCATATTGAAAACGGGGCCCGCTAGCGAAGCTATTGGTGCGCTGATCTCATGCAAAAGAAGCAAGATTCGCCCCCCTTCAGCTTCAATCCACTCCTTCCTGGAGCCCCTTTCTACTTGTATGTTTATGCTATTAAAGACCCTCTTATACGGAACTCTACAACCATCTACGGAGTATGCGTCCTTCTATTCACTCATGACTTCTTATGAGGTAGCTAGTCCATTGGCTATTCACCATGGTCACTACATCAGCAGCATCAGCTATTAGCGCTATAGAGCGCACATGCTCAGTTCCTAGCCTTCTTGGCTCTCTCTTTATCATCGCCACCTTCTGTTCTTCGAACCTGTTTCATAAGCCCATCAGCAGAATGCTTTTTTACGCCTCTTTCGGAAACATGATGAGCAATGTCGCTACACTCATGTCCAAGAGTTTCATCGATCAACCCAATTCTGCTGGGTGCCAAACGCAAGCTTTTCTAATCGAGACGTAAGCCCTTTTGATACAACGCCTATGGTCTAATCTACTACTCGGTTGCTGATCATTTTCTAGATTCATGTTTGCGGATGTCTTTTGGGCCCTAGCTATGGCTACGAACGTATACCTCACTTTCTACTATCGATTCGATGGCGCTAGACTACGTAAAATAGAGCCACTTCACATTGGTCTATGTTACGGCATTCCTTTCATTATAGCCGTCACCTTTATCTTTGTAAGGAACAAAGACGGGGTTCGTGCATACGGGAATGCGAACTTGTGGTGCTGGCTTACCGTAGAGTGGGATGCTTGGCAGCTTGCTACTTACGGACTGATATGGTAACCCATTCCTGCTGTTCCTTGGCCATACTGGATGGCCCTACGGTTCGCTCGGCATGAACAGTTCTAACGCTATTCTAGGCTCATCATACTTATCGCCTTTGCTATATACGTCCGCGCCGGGATTACTATCTATAAATGGAGGAATCGCTTGAATGGCTTCTCAAATTCGAACGAGTTGAACACTTCGTCCCAAGTCGCGCAGAACTCAGACCTTCCGGGCATTGCCAAGACCACTAAAATCACAATTACAACATCAAATTCTGCTCCGCCTGGTTTTGGCCAGCCTTTTGGATCCGCAACTAGACCCGAGCCAGTTCATTCAGCAAATATTTACACTGGTCCTGCTCCGCCCATAGCAAATTCTTCTGAGCAACGCAACATCAGGACCCAGCACCCGGATCGCAGAAGACGCAGCCCGAGTGATGAGGCAGCTATTTCTTATGCCAAGTGCGCCCTTTTGTTTTTCACAGCGATGCTTATTACTTGGATTCCCGCGAGCGCGAACCGTCTGTACGTTCTTATTGACGGTAAGGCCTCTGTACAGTTGGGATATCTAAGCGCATTTGTGCTCCCTCTGCAGGGCTTCTGGAACGCCTTGATTTACTATTATACCTCTCGAGCCGCGTGTAAGCAGGTTATTGCTAGTTTACGGAATGGGTGCCGCCGTCTAGAGGAAAGTGATCTTAATGGGTCTAGCTTTGTTGAAAGAATGAATGCTGCCGACGGAAATAATGCACAGGGTTTTCAGCCGGACCAGATGAGAGCCGCCAAGAAGGTGCATGATTTCGGGGACACAGAAAGCACGATATCGCTAACAGCGAGGGTTTGAGGATCTTGTTCCATCTCGAGTTTTAAGTGTTGATATAGGCATCGAACTTAGTTGTGTTTTTAGCTGCAAATTAATAAATCGTTTACTTTCGATTTTATATCCCCAATCTCATCTACCTCTCGTAACTCTTTCTCTTTACTCTTCTATATTCTGGATTTTCGCCTACTAACCTGTTCCTTACTCTGGCTCCCGCTTATTCCGGTATATGAATTATACTCATACTGGATCACCTGAAGAACGCTATGCAGAACTAAAGCTTTCTCCTAACACTATAAAATATAACTTCTAGTCACCCTGGTATTGTGTTAAGCTATGTATCCTATAAACACGTCGTTCTAACCGTTTGGCAATATCTTACTCTAGATTGACTTTATTTATAGTCTTCTTTCCCTCTCTTCTGCATCCTATACCTTAACATAGGTTTAATTTACCCCTGGTATCTCACTTAGGGTTTGGATTAAGGTTAGGCTACACTATCTAAGCTATCTTTACCTAGCTGTTTTTCTTTAATTATAATATAGCTTAAAGGAGATATAGAGGTATAAAAAGATAAGGGAGGTAAAGAGAGGCTTTATATCTTAAAAAAATAACTACTTTACTAGCTAAAAAATACCTAGAGATAGTAAAAAGTGTTTTTTATAGCTAGAATATCTCTAGAACCCTTAAAGCTAAGAAACCTAGCCTTTTCAAGCCTAGTCTAATCGAGGAAAATATATAATAAAGAAAGGTTATTAAAAAGGCTAAAGAAGCTAGAAGAGGTAGTTTTTCCTAATTAAGAGAGATTTAAAGATAGTAAAAAGTGGATTTATAGCCAGCTAGTCTTTATATCTTTTATAGCTAAGAAGACTGCCTTTTTTAGGGTTAGCCTAATAGGTAGAAGGAGGCTAAAGAGGCTATAGGGGTTATATAGGCTTGGCTTTTAGCTTAGATAATATCTTAGCCTTAAGCCTAGGAAGTTGTTTAGAGACTTATAAAAAGGAGGTTTTAATCCAGGCTAAAATCTCTAGGCTTTTTGAACTTAGGGAAATTAGCTCTTTAATACCTCACTTTATAATAATTAGCCAGGCTATTATTTCCCTATTTTCTCTACCTGATATTTATTAATTTAGGCCTGGCTGACTACCCTACAGCCAGGTTTTAAATATTAGGTACTTTAGGGACAA